ATTAAAGATAAACAACCTAATCTTAATGATAAATCTAATAGTAGGTTGTATTTACTATAGATTCAAAAAATCCAATGTTGTTATTTAGTAACTTTTTAATAATGAAATAATATTAAAACTACAGTTGAGCAACTACTGTCGATTCGTTTTGTAAATGTAAATATAATTAATTTTGGTTTAATAATAAAACTGATTAGCTATGGTTACATTAAATAAACAAATTACCAATTTAATCTGTGATAAAACATAGACATGAAACTAGTTTAGTGGCACGATTGAAAAAATATTTGTTAAAAGTATAAATATTGCAGGTAATAATTAAAACCTGTCATGGCTCATATAGGTTGACGTATTGTAGTATTTTGTATTAGGCAAACTCACTTAATAGTTCGGAGAATTATCAAGGGCGGAATTAAAATGTTAAACAATAAAAGTGCTCCGTATAGCTGCCAAAAACTTTATTTTAAGGCTTCCTTAAATCGTATAGTACATTCTCCTTGTGATATAGTATATTACGTTACTAGTCCTGAAAATAAGTGTTTACCGGACGAGTGTGGTCGTTCCCGTGCAAGACGAAGTCGAGTACGGGATTACCATACGAGTCCGGTAAACACATTTTGGACGAGTTACGTACGATAGTTTACGCCATAACTACTAAATCTCTACAAATCCTTATACAGTATATTACTACCAACTAAAGGACTAAATATCACTAGTCATAACCTCTAAGCGAGGTTATGTTTTTGTCTACAACCAAACCACTCATTGCCACCCAAATACAGTATAATCAGCTGATTGGTGTCCGGTAAAACTCATTGCATAACAGTAGTACGCAATGAAACCCCATTGGATTAAGCTGGCGGCAAACAGCTGTTTTCTGGACTAAATACTTGCGTGGGAAGTTCGTTAAAACAGTGTAGTATGGCGTAAATAATAATTTGTATTTCTTATCACCATTTATATTGTACAACCTAACGTTATTTTAAATTTTGTTACCAAAAGTGAATAAACCCTTCGAGTAAATTTTGAAGGTTGTATGTATTTTTGCCAATCCCTTTGGGAGTAAAAATACTTATGACTTTACGTTACCTCACATACAATCTGCGTACCTTCACCCATCTGTGTAATATTTATTTTCTATTGTTATATGCTTTCTTTGTTTCCATTTAAAATTAATGTTGCCACTTTGAAATAGGTGTCATCATTTATTTTCTTCCTCAATGAAAATTAATTGTTATTTAATATTCGATCAAGAAGGGAAAATAAGGAATAAAGAAGTATCATCATAGTTCGCTGTGTATTGACGTAATGTATCTCTGCAGTCTGTCACAGACCATCAACGCCGCCCTACGACGGATATTTCAACTATCTACTGCCGCAACCTTATCATCGTACTGTACATGGTTGCTGTACTGGATATAAATTAAAATCTATTATTCGATGTGTTGCTTTTGAAATAATACTTGCGTTTGATAACAAATAAAATTGCTAAAGAATATGATTTCATTATCAACAAACAAATATTGTTCACCGTTTCGATGGAACGGCATAGTTTTAACCAATGATGTATATAGCTGGCGATTTCACTTAAACACGTCCTTTAATTTGTATGGATAAATTATTTCAAATTGCATGCTGCATAATTTAGCGCGTTTATAAGCGAAAGACTTTTTTTAATAATTGATTTTCTCGATTACAGATTGTAATACTCTTGTAACAAAACGTATTTTTATAGTGTAAACATTTAACTTAACACATTCTTCTTCGGTGGTTAGTTTGATAATTTGTCATTGATTTGATAATTGATCAAATTGTACATGCTTCAATTTGGTTACTTATGGTGAACTTTTACAATTATTATACCATGATGAAACGAAGCACCAAACTCGTGTGGTTTTGATCATACTACATTGCGAATACAAAACACCAAAACCCATGCGCGTGGACCATGCGTCAGACCAAGTTGTCAAGGTGTAGTAGTGTGCTCCTGTTACATTTTTTTTCTTTAGATTGTCGTACCATCAGGGTTACATTTAAAATTTTACATTTCACCGTCAACTTCCCTTCAAGATAGGGATGATACAAAAAGTTAGTGTAAAAAAATACTGTCCATGACAATTTTCATATATTTACGTCATCGACTAATCTTTTCTGCTGTGCAACGTTTTGTAAAGATCAGGTATCACATGTATTTTTTATAAATTGTTAATATATGAAGAAACAATATTGGTAAATAAACTGACATGTTGTTCTGAAAAACTGCCTATTCTTAAATAAGAATTTTAATCAATCAATCAATTAATCAATTTATTTATTGAACAATAATAATATATACATGCATATTATACAATAGGTGCAAAAACCAATAATCAATCATCAATAATCAATTCAATATAAGTCAAATGACTAAGATAATTGATAATATAATAAATATAAAGAACATTTTGTGTCAGTACACTCAATATTAGCGGCCGAACTAAAGTTTTAATTTAATTCTACACTATTTAATATTCATCATGAGGATGAATAGTTAACCTCTAGTCTACGATGCCATTCATTTTTTAATATAAGCAAACGCATGGATATTTTATACTTATTTTTATAATCAATCCAAACATAACTATACCAATGTACATTTATCCAACTAAAAGCATACAAATTACCTCTGACATTGTTTTAAATCTATACCACCTACAAAATGAACTAGCAATAAAACGTGAACAAACATAAAATCTTTGTATAACCGCAATGATAATGAAACCAGGTAAAATGTAGGTTAATGCAAAGTCTGTTTCGTCAAACATCGTATTTCTCTCAGAACCTCTCTAGAAGAGACGGAAGTGATGAAATGAGAGAGAATATTAATGCATCAAGTCCGGCTGGGAGTGGGTATCCACAAAATGTATAGAAGTAATGAAATCTGGCTTAGGAGGGGTATAATGAAGTGTAAACAAAAGACCAGCGAGCTTCGTAAGATGGGGAGACGGTCCGTCCTGGGGGGGGGGGGGTGAAAAAGGGATGAAAAGCTGACTACATCAACATGACTTGTGGTTGATTCTCAGCTGGCCGTGGTGGAGATTTGAATACCGATTTGATACTAAATAATTTAATACTGAGGGTTTTTGTTTGTTGTTATTATTTTACGTTTGGGTCATTGTATATTTTGATATATTGATAAAACATCTACATACTGAATATATATATATATATATATATATACTGTATATATATATATATACTGAATATATAAATATTGATTGCTAACTTCTCATTTAACAAGGATTTCTCACTTGATGTGGTAAACTTGTAAACCATACTTGAAACTACAATAATACACTGTTCTTTTTGGATTTCACACTGGTCAATAGATTTTTAAAATAAACCTGCTGAATTAATACATGATCAATATTTTAAATTAACAATTCTTGAAATACTACTGTTTAATTTCCAAGGGTTAGTTATATTTATCAAGAAAATTCAAACCTATTATTAATAGACGAGTCATGGCTTATATCATTATATGTAGTAACTATTACTATGAAATGATTCTATGAGTAATTTATAACAATGTAAATGCTTCGTTTAACTTTTAAGAAATACTTGTTAACATGTGTCTGTATCCAGGCTGCAGGTAATTATGGCGAATTATATTTTTCGTTTTGCGCCCTTGGCCTATCAACCAAAAGTAGGCCTACGGCCAGATATAATCCGTATTTAATTATAAGTTATAAAATGATTTTATCAACCTTATTGTTAAATAATAATAATTTATTGACCAAAATAATGCGTTGTTATACTATATCGTGTATACAAGCAAGCTGTGTGAAAGTATTCTGTGTTTGTGTATCAATTGTATCACTACACCCTCGTATTCTTATTCTTATTGTAATATTTCATTGACACTATAAGTTGACATTATGGATTTCATTTTTTACAACTAATTATATGCTTTATCTGTGTAAATTTGATAACCGTTATAGCGTAAACCTATTTCTAGAAAATTACGTATCCATGTTAGTACAATATCAGAGTTTTTTATGGTCTACATTATTAGGATCATTTTAATGTTGTTGAAGTTAAATTTGCACGAACAATCAAGTTAATGTTGATTTTCTATACACAACTAATTGCTGCCTTAACAAAAATGGCAAAAAAAATCATTGTGGTAAATATGTTTGAAATTCCTTGATACATCGTCAGGAAGAAATTTTAATGTTGTAACACCTTTTTTTTATGCATGGATTGTTTATAGTAAATAGTGTTAACCGATTACCTTTGCCCGATCTCAATAGCCATTGATATTTTGTAATTTAATGTGTTATTTAGTCCGATTTGTGTGATCTCGTAAGTTCCACACCTAAACTTGATTTAATCTCTTTAGATTTCACTATGGTGCATAATATAAAATTAATCATTTTAAACTAATTTTGGATGTAGTAAACTTTACACCATCTTATGGACATTATTACGACTCACAAAATTAAAAAATTGAAGAAGGAGGAATGTATCACAGAAGTAACTAATAGATAAGTTCCCTAGCATCTGCAGTTTACGATATTGAAATTACCCTCAGTTTATTAAATGCCCCTGAAAGTTTTTCATTTTGAAATTTGTTTATGTACGCTTGCGTTTACGTCTAACAATCTTCAAAGGGAACCCCTTACCCCTTTCAACTATTATTTAGGCCTACCACTTAACTACAGTATTTATATTGATTTTCTTCGTACAAATTCGTACAATTAACCTAGTGCGAGTGTGCGAATCGAAATTATAAAACGGATATAAAATGGGAACAATAATGATCAATAAATAAGCCGGGGAGGGGTGTGTTTGTGTATGTGTGTGAGTGTATGTGTATACAGGTACCCCCGCCCCCTCCTCTGTACCTGGGCGATACGCGGTGATGCGCGTGCGTGCGCTCAGCCAATGGTGGCTCAGCGCGGTCCCAGTTTATATAACCACCTGGGACCGCCGCACACAGTCACTCCAGTTCCGGACGGTATCCAGGACAGTCGGACGTCGGACGGTTTCTAGTGTTCCGACCCCTCGAAGGGTGCTGAAGGTCGTCTGTTCGGATCGGGGACAATCACCCCTTTCGATTCCTCCTCTCCTCTACTATGACTTCCTCTCTACTCTGAAGTGTTCCGCCTTCGTGTCTTCTTCTTTTCTACTTTTGATACTTCTACAGGGTGATGTGCGATTGTGATAGTTAGTGACTCGGAATCAGAAAGATTCAGTGTATATCTGTGATCGTGAAACACATAGTGCAATATTACGTTAAGTCTTCGTAAGTCTAATCTAATGTACCATTCTTTCACAAGTTGAAAACTCTAACGCTTAGGTATCGATTAACTCTTAGTCTGTATCCTTATTCTGACAATCAGTCGATGCCTCTTCTTAGCTGTACTCGAATCTCTATTTTCTAACTCTATTCTCGATCTATACAATCGTCTTCGACAATCGTTCAACTATAAGACTCGTATCTTCTCGCCTTCGACTTTTATACATATTTCTACTCTGCACTTTTCTACTACACTCCGCTCTCGTATTCTTCTATAAGGCCTACTATAGAGTGATTTATACTTAGAGTGAGTATCTCCAGTACCTGTGACAAAGTCGCCGTGAGGTTTCAATCTTCATCATCACGTTCTACCACTCTTTCTCTTTCCCCTCCCCCTCATCCTATTACAACTTACCCCCCAGCCCTTCCAACTTCTTGACGACTCCCGCGGCCGCCAACGTAGCCAACCCCAACTGTTCCTACTGCTGTTGCTCCCAGTGTTGCGCGTGTAGTCTGCAGCTGGTCAGGTCTTCGCCCCTCTACCATCCCGCACCCTACGTCCACCCCGGCCTCACCAGCATATCCATCGTCAACAGAGACCCTCCTCCTCCCCAGACACACAACGGCGTCCTCATCTTCCAGAATGGTCTGCTGAACAGGACGTCGGGATATCTGTACCCCCAGGACAACGAGAGCCAGGACAAGCGTTGCCAGGACCTGCAGCTGGTCGTGGTAGGACCTCAGGACACGTCGCAGGACACCACTGATATGGTGAGTCACTCAAGGTCCGCTATGTGTCTCACAAAGCTACTTAGAGGCCACCACCGAGATATGTCCTTAAATCTATGCTTCAGAAATGCAAGGAGTCATGGTCTTGAAGATGAATGTTATTATAAACACACGAATAACCCAAACAACCACACTACGATAAAAAGTAAATCACATTATAATCTATGTGCTATTGCAGAAAAGCGAATGGCATAGGCAAAGTCAGCGGCCGAGGGCTGATTCTGTCATACGTCGTGTCTTAGTCACCTCACAAAAAAGTTCAATTAAAATGTTGATTGTGTAAAAACTGCATAATAAATATTATATTATTGTACCATGGTATTGTATTGTACCATGTTTATTTGGCAGGTATTCAATTTACACAATAAAAATGTTTGATCCAGTCATAACCATGACAGCAGCATTTCGTTTAAATTTAAAGGGTTCCAGAAAGGCTATAATTATACGAAGAGTAAGCTATGCGGAGAGCTACCTCAAGAATGGTTTAAAACAATACTCTTCATTTTACCCACCAAAACACGATGTAAAACGTCATCATGTCCACACTTTGTACACAAGGTGTGTCTGAAGCCCCAAATCCTAGCAGATCTGAGAGTGTCCTGCGAAACCTCAGAGCATGCAGATGAGGATAAGTAAGGGGTTCTTAATGAATATTTAACTTAGACCGCCCTTTGCGCGGCATCCTCGACGTTGAGCCTTTTAGTGTTTATGTTTCACGCGAATACATCACCCTCAACCCCACTCAATTTGTATGAGAAGTTTCGACACGGTATTGTAAAGACTTCAAAGCGAAATGGTGGAGAAAATGTTCCTAACTCTATTTTGCGTATTTTGTTTCGATGTGAGACCATTGCGAGTGATGTCAAACCTGTGATTTTTTTAATATAATGGTATTTTTCAAATTTGTGTGTTTATTGGTTGATAAGTACAGGATTCTAATAAAATTTTGATAATTTTGAAGTTTCGACTCTTGTAATGTGATGACGTAATAACACAATGAATGATAAAGAAAATTATTCTAACTTTATTCTGCCTATTATTGTTTCGATATGTGAATCTATGACGAGTTAGTAAGGTAGAATTGGAGAGATTTACACAAAAGGGGTGATAATTTTCGTTAAGTTATGATTTATTTGTGGCTATTTGGTTAAGGTGTGGGTTTCATTGACCGTCAAAATAAATTTTAGTGTTGATGGTCATTAGGCGATCTCTGCAAATAATAAAACTATACGTTGTAATATTATTTAAACATATCAACCAAATCAACTCCTCTAAATTTGTACGGTAAGCTTGAACCATAAAGACTTCAAAGCGAAATGGTGGAGAAAATGTTCCTAACTCTATTTGGCGTATTTTGTTTCGATGTGAGACCATTGCGAGTGATGTCAAACCTGTGATTTTTTTTAATATAATGGTATTTTTCAAATTTTTGTGTTTATTGGTTGATAAGTACAGGATTCCAGTAAAATTTTGATAATTTTGAAGTTTCGACTCTTTTAATGTGATGACGTAATAACACAATGAATGATAAAGAAAATTATTCTAACTTTATTCTGCCTATTATTGTTTCGATATGTGAATCTATGACGAGTTAGTAAGGTAGAATTGGAGAGATTTACACAAAAGGGGTGATAATTTTCGTTAAGTTATGATTTATTTGTGGCTATTTGGTTAAGGTGTGGGTTTCATTGACCGTCAAAATAAATTTTAGTGTTGATGGTCATTAGGCGATCTCTGCAAATAATAAAACTATACGTTGTAATATTATTTAAACATGATCAACCAAATCAACTCCTCTAAATTTGTACGGTAAGCTTGAACCATAAAGACTTCAAAGGGAAATGAATGGGGTAGAGGTTTTAGCTTTATTTTGCATATTTTTGTTTCAAATTGTTGAACGACTGAGATGAACCGGTAGAGTTTTCACTGGGGGATGAGAAAAATAACCATATTTCGCAAAATTATGGATTGTCATTGGTTGTTACGAGGGGATTTTTAAGGGGGTATATAATTTTATTGAAGATCAAGAACGAACGTAAATATATTAGAGGAAACTCGAGTAAATTATGATGTAGTATAATAATTAAAAAATCTGTATCCAAAATACCCTTGGAAAATGTTTTTAAATCCTCTCGACGAAACCCGTATGAAGCAAACTCAAAATCAAACGAACTTTCTCAACGAGTAATTTGTGACTATCCACATCTTAGTTACAACATTCTTAGTAAAAACCTTTTGTTCAAACATTACACGTTTTACCGCAAATGTTCCACATTGAACCAAAATATACTCAAAACAAAGCTAGGAGAATTAAAAAAAACATGACGGATATAAACAGTAGTTATCTATCATAATCCAATTATCAGAACACAAAAAATCTTTTTAATATCAAAATACTATTTATTTCGTCAAAATCACCTACTTTTCAACATAATATCCTCACAGTTCATCAAAATTGACCCACATACTCCCCTGCGAGTCAGATAATGTATTCGGGCCGAACACCGAACACCGGGTACCGGACCCAGCATTGGACGATACGTTGCTAGCACAGAGTGTACTGCAAGTTGTGTAAAAAGAGATGGAAAGTGCGACAGAGAGAGAATGAGAGAGAGAGAGAGAGGAGAGGTAACTGGTTAACCTTGGCTTTGCCTATTATGTTAAAATAATGGCGAGTAGTGGCCGGAGCGGCGAGTCGCTGAACGTCTCTGTACGTCCGAAAAAGGCGCTAGAGATAGACAGAGGAGGTGTGTTGTAGTAGTGTTCTATATAGAGGGGAAAACACAATTATGTGAGCTGATGTTAAAAATTGATAGGATTGGGTTAAGGCATGTACATACGTCACTATTTTGGTGTACTGAGATCATGTCGATTTATTTCGGAGGAACCCGAATACATTTTTTTTATGATTGCTAATACCGTTGACTTAATTTTTGACGAGGTATTTTATTTAAAAGTGTATTTTCTTTACTTTTTTCATATCCGGTTATATTATTACAGTATATCTTCTCGGGAACTGTTTTATGTCTCTATAAAACGTTCATTTCTTACGTATTACACCCCCAGATTACACCTTTTGTGTTATCACAATTAATAGTTGTTAAATAATCAATCGAAGGAAGCAAAAAATGTATTTAATCCGAATCAGAGTATTTTATTTACTTCAAAATTAGTTTTAATATGGAAACGTTGACGCGTATTCAAAATGAACTTGTCCGTCTCTGACAAACTGTCAGTGGAAGGGATTTCGGAGACAAGACCGTCTCTACAACAATTAAACAAAAGTTAATTATAATACGTTTTACATGTTTTATCCAGGAATACAGATTATAAAATTATTAATTCGTACACAGATATAATGAGTCAACTTCTAAACCCGTGGATAATATGAAATCAATGAAAAACATTGACAACTACAAATAAAACCTACTTTAGCTGTCTTTTAGGGAAAATAAATGCGTCCACATGTAGATACCCAAGAGTAAATAGTACATAAGGTTTGTCACCCACAATATCCAAACCCGAGAGTAACACCTTTTGCTTGAATTCGACCAGTCCTCCAGACGTTTCAGAGCGGACCCTTAAGTCAAGTTAGCAGTGAGAGAGACTTATTCAATTCATTACCTCCCTCTGTATTGTACAAATATTTTGATTGGCGTTAAAACAAGCCGATCCCGCCCGCTGCAAACTCTGCATTATTAATGGAGCACGTAGAGTGGCAAGGGACGTTTTTATGGACTTTTCCAGTTGCCGTCAATTTTTATAAAGCCCCGACGTTGCGATTAATTGATTATCAATCGCGTTTCATGCGTGGTTTGTTGACAGCTTGACTCATTTTGTGCTGTGCTTTTTACTATGGAATTAAATGTTGAATACAATTAAATAATACATAGTATTAGTATTATACGTTTAATTGTTTGGAATCATAAACTTACATTGTGAATACTGTACATTTTTTCAGTATGTGTGTAATTTTAATTGGTCACGAAGATAAATTAAGAGATTTGCTGTTCAAAGCTTAAGCTTGAATTTTTACCGGGGAAATAGGACTAATATCAGACAGAAACGTACAAATACCGATTCATTACTCAATGTAAGTCAATTATGTTATTGGTAGTGCTACATGTTATCTTTTGCAATTGTTCGAAATGACTCATTTTGAATACCCCTAGTATTATTTATAAACCTACAAGAAAATGAACACACATTTATTTCCGATTGTCGATTTATTTCATAAAACCTAGTCGTCCTGATTATTTTTGTTTTGTAAATACAGTAGTACAATCACTTTTATTTACCTTTATAATTTACATAGATGGATACAACAAAGGCTTTCTTCTATTCCTGTGAATATAATAATTAATATAATTTATGTGTCAGTGTATGCTAAGTAGTACGTTTCAATCAGCGACCACAGAATCAAAATTTCAATTCTGTGGTCGCTGGTTTCAATAGACATTGTACGATCATCGACAGAAAAGTACGTGTGAAGTTATCATAACAGGAATCATTGGTAAAGTAACTGTTTGTACATGTTCTAAAAATAGTCACATGTGCGAAGGTTTTTAACTACTCTAAGCAATTTTACAGTAACATAAAATAATCAATACCTCTTTATATACAACGCAAAGTCCATGTTTATATACTAATAATGAATCAGTCCATAAACGACAAGCTCGGGTGGAGAGTGGAGACGGACACGACTCATAGCGGCCATATTTTAATACGTCATCTCAATATCTATCTCACCGGCAACAGTTTTATTTCACGGCGGAATTTAATGCTTCATAAAAGTTAATACGTTGGTTTTACGTTCGTATACGCTCGTCGGAGCGTACCCGCTGACCATATTACGCATTACACTCATGTGCTGCCCCAAATACTGCAACAGAAAATGTATAATTTATTGCAACGGCTTCGTGTTCATTTTTAGAAATCAATCAAACTTTATAACTAAATGGTTCGTAATAGTTATAATTGTA